CGTTGTTCAGTTTTCCAGGTATGACTTTGATCTGCGAAGGATCTAATTTTGGCATGTTTTGTCGGTAGGATTTGTAGTGGGGTTGATCCGACTAAAGTTTTGTCATCATTTGTAGATCACCTTGGAAGTCTTCTCGAGCTAGTTATGTATTAGTGGAATCTGTTTAATTTCAATCAAGGTGTAGGATCCGGTTCGTTCATTCATAAGGATGTTTCTAATAACGGTTGAGGATCATCATTTCATTAGATCTACTGACACTTCACCCTTTGGGTAAGGTTGTGAGGAAGAAGGAATGAGGAGGTGTATATGGATTAAGTAAGATAGCATGAGAACACCTGGTCTGAATTCATTGGTACGGTTCTTAATTGGTTCGTAGCCCTTGAGTTGGAGCAAGAGTACAACCACCTATCTCATTTGTTAGTTGGGTGCGACCATTTTTCGTCTGATTTTGTGTTGGTACCAGCCTATGTTGTGTAAGGAATTGTACGTGATAAAAGGGTATGGCATGGGTTGTGTTTGTTTAACATCGAAAGGAATGTTGAATGGGTTTTCTGCAAGACAGTGGGTTAATGGTTTAGTATCTTTAGACCCGGTAGTCATTTGGTTGAGACTCTTAGGTCCCGGATCGTTAGTCTTATTGGCATGGTTGGATGACAGTGCATTGTTCTTGGGAATTGGGAGACTCGGTGACCAGCTGGTTTGGATTATGTGGTTAGGAAAAGTTATTTAGAATGGTATATTATTTGTGTACCGGAAGTCGCTTAATGAATGGTTGCTATGGTGGACCCCATCTTCTCGTGGGCTATCTATTAGGATTTTGGTTTCCAGTATGATGAGTTGGTTCTAAAATCTGGAGTGTTTTGTCAAGTGTAGGTACACCTGAGCTGATGAGGGATTTCGATGCAATGTGCGAATTCTTGGATTGACCATCCTTATGCCTATGGGGGCAGCAGGTTGGTGATGACTTGTCAGGAAGTCAAGAGCATACAACTGAGTGATATCGGTTAGTAGATCGGGGGTAAGCCCAAGTAATATTGTCGATTAGTAGATTGGGGGTAAACCCGAGTGCTATTTTCGATTAGTGGATTAGGGTTAAGCTTGAGTGTTGTCAGTAGATAACTAAGCAGGGTTGTCAAAGCCGAGTAGGAGCATGACATAGTTTTTTTGTGAGCAGTTGATTCTCGTTGTGATGGTGCACTTATGTGCAGGATTACAAGACGACGATTGGCCGAGGAGGTTTAGAGCCGATCAAATCTGCGGGTTTTCGGTTAGGGGTTCCATAGTGAAGCGGAAGTGAGTGCTAATTTCAACGACGAAATCTAATTTAAGCGGGGGAGAACTGTAACATCTTTTTTCCTGCTATTATTGAGTCGTGGACCGGAATTCAATTGTGTAAGTTTTTGGGCCTTAAGGAGACAAATTTTAGTCCTTGTAGAAGGAGGGAAGGATAGTTAAGATATTTTACCCTTGAATTGTGTTTTGGGCCGAAGGGTATAAAGGGAAAAGTCATAGGTTGGTTTCTTGCATGAAATATGGATTTTTTTTCACGAATTTTTTTGTCCAAAATATTTAGAAAATATTGTAGAGCTCTTCAACACCTTTCCATTGATATAAAGAATGTCGAAAACGGAGTTGGAACTAAGAAGTTACGACCGTTTGAAGTTAGTACGATTTTTGGGTTAGCCGCGTACGTTGGTCGTACTAGGGCATCGCTAGTACGTTAGGCATATGTGATCAATGCTCAAACCCTATTTTCGTGTTTTGAGCCCTATTTAAGCTCCTTAACTTCCCCAAACCCATTCCATTCTCAGCCTCCACCTCTCCAACACCCTCTATTGAAACCCTAACCCTATTTTGAGCCTTGTGAGTAAAAAAAGGTGTTTTTAAGTGCTTTGGAGTGTTCTTGGTGCATCATGGAGAAGAAGAAACTCATTGAAGAAGCATTGGTTGCTTTGGAGATTGTAGATCCAGACCTTTTTCACCTTGATCTCTCTTCTGGATGTAGAATGCTTGAATCTTGATGATGAAATTGTTAGATCTAGCTAGTTTTGGGTGTTATGAGCTTTTGGTCACTTTAAGTGCATGAAGTTTATATCTTGAAAGTTTGTGACCTTGTTGTGGATAAAGTTGGTAACTTTATCCATCTAAACATCATATTGATTTAGATATGAAGGTTGGAGACTTGGACTTAACGGATTAAGTTGAAAAGGATGCACTTTTGGTCCCTTTGATACTTAATGACTAGATCTTGTTTGTTGGGACCATTCTAATAGATAAAGTTGGAAACTTTATACATTATGGAGCTATTAGGAACCATAAAATATGATCTTGGTCCTTTCATCTCTTCCATGCAAGAGTTGTGATGTCTTAATGGATTAATAAGTTATGGTTTTAGCTTTTGGACTTTCTCTAGCCAGGGAAAGTCATAAAGGTGGAAACTTTATGACTTAAGACAATGTTTTGAGGCAAGATCTGAGTTTGGTGAAAAGACCTTAAGGGATTAAGTGCTTACTAAAGGAGTGGGATCATGCTATGTACGTTGGGCGTAATCAACTGCCTTAGACTTTGACTTTTGTTGACTTCCGTTGACCGTTAACTTTTTAACCAATTTTGACCTCTGGTCAAACTTGAGGATTTTGGGCTATTGATTAAGATGTTATTTGGTTCTGGTGTTAGTGGATTCGCGGGAGCAAGCAGTGTAGAAGGGAGTATATCGTAATCTTTCGAGGTTCTTTGATTCAGGTGAGTTTTCCTCACTATACTCATGGGTCAAAGGCACTAATGTCGGCCCACTAGGTTATGTATCCTGGTATATAGGATGTTGCTTATTGTAGTAAGTTTTTAGATATTAATCTTGGTATTTAGGATGTTGCTATGCGGTAGAGATCTGTAGATCTACTTGTTTATCTATTTACTGGCTATATGTTTATCTGTTGCATATGTTGACATAGTGTGGTTGGATTGAGACTATATTGTTTTGTGCTGCCAGTCAAAAACCTAGTATGGTAAGGTTGAGGCCACATGCCAACAAACCTGGATTGTTGGTTGAGGCCACGTGCCAATAAACCCGATATGGTTGGGTTGAGACTGGAGGTCAACAAACCCGGTATGGTAATGTTGAGGCCATGTGCCAACAAAACTGGATTGTTGGGCTGAGGCCACGTGCCAACTAACCCTGGATGGTTGGGTTGAGGTCAAGGACCAACAAACCATGTATGCATGCTTGTTGTATATGTTATCTTTTTGTGTGGTGGTACCTTGGGGGAACTCACCAAGCTTCGTGCTTATAGTTGTTTGTTATGGTTTCATGTACTTCAGATGATCGAGAAAAGCAAAGGCGTGACCGTGTACATCCTTAGGATTTTATGTTATTGGATTTTGGGATACCCTGATTTACGAACTATACTTTTGAAACAATGTTTTTGTAAATAGTTATTGACTTGGGGTTGTTTCGGAAAAATGAAAATTTTACTCTGATTTTTGGGATGTTACATTGTTATCCCGGGGTGCATTTTTGCAAAAGAGCTTCATAGCCTCGTCACTGTTTAACAAGCTAATATTGTGCATCACATTTACTTTATGTGCAACTAATAAATGCTTATGACGAGTTGTTATTATTATTAGACTTCCTTCACTGAACCAATCATGTGATCTAGCCAACATTTTTAGTTGGTCAAGGTGATCAAACGTCATCTTGAACAATCAAGACCTTTCTATGGCACAACTTTTCCTTAATCATGCATCTTCCTCCTCCAACATTGTTTAGTCCTATTTTTGAAAAAAAATCGCTCCTTCCAACTTTTCGAAACCATACCTGCTTGATTCCTCTCGAATATTTTCAACAAAGCAGCAACCATCAAACTTCCTATAGATTTCATCATATATGGAAGAAGCAAGAGTAGTCTTACTACCACCACCAACCCCCATATTCCAACCATGTGCACATCACCTGACTCAACTTGTAACTCCAATCTTAAATCTTGCAAGCAAGCTCCCATTCCAATCAGGTTTTCATTTTCACTTGAAGTTACTCGATGTAACTTTTGTGAAATTTCGACAACAATTTGTTTGATGCCTTTTGATTCATGCCTACACATTGGATTTAGAAGGATATATAATTAACATATACACTTTGACAAAAGATGCGCTTGCTTCTTCTTCGATGAAATAAAGAAAAGGAATCCTAATTACCCGTTATCTTTCTCATCCAAATATAACTTGTAAAGTCAAATATCACATAGAAGTAATATATAACAATTTTCTTAGGAAATAGGAAATAGTTTCAAATAGAAAAAAGTAAAGCAAGATGGATTTGTCACCAAAGTTGAAGTGAGTTGTCAAGACTCAGTTAGAGCTAAAACTCAATCAGTTACATCATAACTTAATTTGAGCTTATCAATAATCCTAATACTTGGGATATCTTTTAACTTGTCCACTATGATAAGAAACCACATCTACTCAAAGCATGTCATAATCTCCTCCATGTTTATATTTGGCTCTTTTATCAGGTGATTAAGTTAAAACCTCTTTGTCTATCAAGGTCATCAACTTCATTAAGAATAATTAACACATTTGTTTCAAAAAACTTATAAGGTACAACCGTACAAGTATAAACACGTTGTAGAGCACACATATATATGTCTTAAACAAAAAAGGTGAAAAAAAGAAGAAAATTACCCATTGGAAATGTGCTTGGGTTCCCATCCAGAAATATTACGTGCATCAACAAATACTTTTCTCCAAGATTCAACCTTGATTTCGTTCTCCAACTTATATTTAGCGAATGCTTCTCCATACTTCTGTTTTTGTTTTCGTATTTCAAAGGGGCCCACGTCATAAAATATAGGAATAACGATCTTGCCTCTCGTATCCATGCATTTCATATTATATGCAAGTTCATCAAGACACCAGGACGAATCACCATAGTTTTTTGAAAATACGATGACAAGTATTTGTAATTCTTGGTTAGCCTTCATAAGGGATGGGTGGATTGATTCTCCTCAGGGAAGTGTTTCGTTGTCTTTGAATGTGTAGATACCTTCTTGTTCAAGAGCAGAGTAGAGATGACCCATAAAAGTTTTGCGAGTATCTTTCTCCTCTAAAGTTAAGAAAAACATGGTACTCCATGACTGAGAAGAAAGGGTCGGAGCCGGTGAAGAAGATGATGATAATGTCATCGATGTGTTAATTGCTTGAGATAAAATGTAAGTGGTTTGAGCACCTCAATGAAAGGAACCTCATATAGAGAGATGTCAGTTTCCAATAAAAGCCGTTATCATGTTGGAAAATCTCATAAGAACTCATAATTGAACAGATTACCGTGTAGAAAATCTCATAACAAGTCCTTACACTTTTCTTTTTCATTTTTTTGCCCATCAAAAACTCCTTTGAATGTATAATACAAGCTACAATTTTAAAATAATGTGAGTTAGTTTTTCCACAATCACATTATACAAACTAAAGTTTTACTCTATATTCTACATTGATATTTTTCTTAAAATATGTAGAGGAAATTTCCCAGCAATACCAAACTTTAGCAAACTCCATTTCTCAACTCTTTACTTTGCAAGCTCATAATTCAATTGCCCATATGATTTGTTCCACAACTTGAATCTTTTCTCTCAATTCTCCAGATGGGTTAACTACAGAGTGAAAATGATGAAAAAGTAATTTTGTTTTCTATCATGTTATGATGGGAATGGAACCTCGAAGTAATGGAACAAACGAGGTAATAGAATCGCTCATTACATTTCATAGTCATGTTAGGTTGGTTGAAAGAATGGAATGTGTTATTCAAACACGTTTTTTTCTTATGCATTAGATTAAAAACTAAATTAAATTAAAGCGATCTAAATAATGTTATTGTATTTACTCAAATAAAGATATATCCTTAAATAAAATACATATAAACATATTTCATTTCTTTTAACTTATGTTCTATGTGTATTTCAAATAGTAAAAAAAATATCACTTACAATATTGCTTACAAACTCAAAACTAGCATATAACCATAAAATTTAATTATAAAAAATATAAATCAAAAATAGTTTAATTTACGTATTAGTATTTAATAAGAAATAATGGTATTATTGAATATTATATGAATAAAAAAATATAAAATTAAAATATATCATTCCTTTCCCTAAAAGAATGAAAAAAAATAATAAAAAAGGAACACCCGTACCCCCATGTAATGAAAATCATGCGAGAAGGAATTGCATTCCATGAAATAATATGCTCCATTCGTTCCTTTGTACCAAACAGAAATGATTTTTTCATTGTTTTGTAATGCTCTATCCCATTTACGTTGTACATTATCACACCAAATTATTTCATAAGTTATGCTATTTGTCAAATAAGTTATGCCACAAACTTTTAGCATTTACTCCAAATACATAAAGGCTTTTGACACGAAAGTCCTTAAGGTTGGCAAGTTTTGTTGGTTTTATTTCGGCGATGATTTCTTGTTCGTTTATACCTAAAGTTGGCCAAGTTTTTCATTTTTACCCTTGTTAGCTGTAATAACGGTTTCCCTTTTATCATGAACTCAAATTTGCAAAAAAGAAAAACCTTAAGTTTACAAATCTTTTATGTTTTTACCTTAAGTATGATTTTATATATTATGCGTATTCATGTAGAAAAAAAACGTAATTATACACGAGAAAAGGTTTTACTAAACATCGTATAAATATGTTTTTTTTTGTGTTGAGATTATTTTTAACTATTATTTAGTTCCTTATCTCTTTCGTTTTCTTGCTCCTTAAGGACTTAAGTGTCTATCTTTTAGAGCCCTTATCGTATTTGGTTATATTCATATAAATATCGATGATGTAATCTCGTTTTGATCAATAAGAAATACAAAAACTTTTCTTAGCCTATATTTGTTATGGTATCAGAGCGAAAAAAGGAATCAATCCTAGTGCTCGTCTACAATGGCCGGCGATAAGCCACAATCGTCCAAAGGAGAAAAGTTCGTTCTCGATATAACTTCGCCCTACTTGATCATTGTGAGTTCTGATCACCCCTGGACAAAACTTTGTAAGAGAAAACCTTCTATGCGATGGGTATTATGGAGACTGGGAAAACGAGATGACCAACACCCTATTTGTTAGGGTACAAAGTTCTCCATGGATGTGATGTAAGCTTCCCTCTTAGGAATATGTATTGGGTTGAGCTTTCCTATAAATAGAAAGTGAGTAGCTCCTATTTATGTAAGAACCCATATAAGAGATTAGTTTAGTGAGAGAAATATTGCAAGACCCACTTTGTAATACTTTCTAGACTAATGAGAGCTTAAACCGTTTTATTTACTTCTTGTGTTCTGAATATGATTTGATTCACATAATCATTACATTTCTACATTCATCATCATTCATGGGATCTTATTTGTGGTATCAGAGCGGGTTCTTGAAGATTTCACAACTATTTCAAGAAATTGATCCATGATGATATTTTTGATTTGGTGAATCATTAATCAAACTTCATGTTGTAAGTTTTCTTTCTTTGAGAGAGTTTTTGTATCTAGAAATCGAACTAATTCTTTGATTTTGATTCAAATTCGATTTTCCCTCTCTAGAATTTCATTCGAAATCACTTTCTATCTCTAGAAATATCTAAGCTCTTATGATCTTTTTTGTTTTTTGGATTTGAAATGGGAGAAGCAATTTGTGAAAGATGATTTGAATTTCTTGGAGACGATCCATATCCATATAGTTTTGAAGGACATATCAATTGCTTTACAACCGGGTATTTTAAAGAAAATTCACTCATTTCTTGTGGAAAAAGAGATGAATGTGGAAATATGGTTGGTTATACTCTTGATCATTATAACCATAAAGTTTTTCTTAATCGTTTGGTTACAAATTATCATGAGAGAAGAAGGAAGAAGAAAGAAGATGAAATCATTAAAGGAATTCGTCTTGATGAATGCAAATATGATGTCAATGTGCTTGCACGTTACCCGGATGTTCATGTTGTTCACGACAAGGGGATTCAATGCGATTTTCATAAAGTTGTGAAAGTTTTTTTGTTCAATTGGAGTTCAAACCAATGATTGTTTGTGTTCTTGTGATTCATTTGAAGGAATTGTGTCTTATAGAAAACCTTCAATCCAAGATGTTCAAAAGTATCAAACTCCAAAGGATATGATTCAAAATTGCAAAGTTGAAGTTGTGAAGAATGATGTTGTTTTTGGAATCAAAAATTCTAGATCCAAAAAGTTGAAGAAGAAGAAGAAAAATAAAACCAAGAAAATTTGGTTTTCTAAGCAAAATTCATCAAATGTTGGTTTGATGATGAAATCTGTGAAGAAAATTTGGGTTCCTAAGAAAAAATCATCAAATGTTTCTATGGTATCGAATTTTAAAGCCATAATTGTTGAAGATTCTCAAATTCAACATGAAGATGAAGTTAGATTTTGAAAAATGAGCAGAAGCTTCATGGGTGGTACAATGTGCAATTTGGAAATTTCTTAGTTGCAACTAAAGAAACTAAAAGTTCATATCATTCTCAAGGAATGTTGTTGGATCTTCCAAGTTTGATTCATGTATTTCCAATGGGAAAAGAATTTTAAAGGAAATTTCACAAACTCTCAAATGGATCCCAAAAAGACCGTGTTGATTTCGATACCTCGTTTATTGAAGAAATGATGATGTAATGAAGATGATGATGAAAAATTAGCCCATAATCTCGATCTACTACTATTCATATTCAATTCAAGTCCAATCTTATGGTCTCATTATTGTTCATTATGAGTTGAATATCTGATCCAACTTAATTCATTCAAAAGCCCAATTTAATATAATTGATTCGTTACTATTCATTGGTCCATATTCACATTTCATTTGAGTCAAACGAAAATCAGATCTCGATTTGTTTCAAATCGATTCTTCATTCGTGTTTCATACATGATTATTGTGTTTGTTTCACATCGAATTTACATCTTCTATCTGAGTTCTTACTCATGATGTACATCAATCATCGAGATTATGATTCATGTTTTCACATCTTCTCGTATTTTTGATCGAGATATTTGAATTGTTTGAGATAAAATTCAATATATGCTTTATAACCGATCATTAATTGTGAATCGATTTGGATATTTTGAGGTCCAAATTAGATAGTCTAGATGATTAGGAATGTTTTTTTTAAATAAGTGGGTACAGTGTAGAATCTATTTGGTGGTCATCGGGGTCAAACAAAAAGTCAAAATTGTTGTCCTTGACAATTGGAAACGAAGAAGGCTCGATTTGTTAAGAAAATTGGATGGTTTGATCAATTTTATTCGATATGAATTCTTATGGAATCGATTCGATAGTCACAGATGATTTGATTGTCAAAGATTTAGGAACGAAGGTTAAAATCGGATTTTCGTAGGTGTTTCAGTGAACAAAAGTTCGACGATAAGACCTTATTTGAGAGGGTCAATCTCCACAGAATTTTAAAGAGAGAATAGAGTAGCTTGGGGCAATTTTCTGGATATTTTCATTCAAAGGAACTTAAAAGAATAAATAATGCTAATGGCCATCATGGCTTCCACGAAAACAGGAACTGAAGAACATGATTGAGACTTATTCCAAACTAATCTAGTGGGTCCTATTCTAATGCACGCATAACCTTAAAAATTCACGTGCAAAAAAAATAATGAAAAGTGCATCTTGGCTTCCAAGTATCTGTTAGTCAAGGTAACGGGTGGGTCCGCGTATGTCCCTCTTGGGTCGGTTATAGTTCATACCCGTATCAACACCCCCGTCCTTGACAGTGACCTTGTACTCAAGGTCAACAGTGGTTGTGGATATGTTGAATTCATCTGATCGTTCCCAAGTGGCTTTTGATATGTCTCTATTCTTCCATTTAACAAGAACATGGGGAGTGTTGTTGACAATACGTTGGTCTAACACTGATTCGGGTTCTAACACAGGTAAGTCGTCGATGAAGGATGTTGGCAATGAAAGAGTTGATGGTGCTAAGTTTCTGTAACAAGGGCGAAGCAGGGAGACATGAAAAACTGGGTGGATGTGGGATTCCGGAGGAAGTTCTAGGCGATAGGTGACTTTTCCTATACGTTCCATGATTTTGAATGGCCCAAAAAAACTCTTACAAAGCTTGTGTAACTCTCTTTTTTTGGACTAATGATTGGCGGTAGATGCGTAGACGAAGGTGGACTAGTTCACCAATTTGGAATTCTTTGTCTTTTCTGTGTTTATTGGCTTGATCTGTCATTCATTTTCGAGTACGTTGGAGTGTGTCTTTGAGTTCTGTTAATAGTCTTTGGTGAGCTACAAGAGTTTCGTTAATGGATGCAACCTTGGAAGTGTCGACTGCATAATGGGGAAAAGTTAGGGGGGTCTACCATAGAGTGCTTGAAAGGGAGACATTTCAATGACACTATGATAGCTCGTATTATACCAATATTCAGCGATATAAAGGTATTTGTTCCAATGGATGGGCTCGTCATTGGTGAAGCAATGAAGATACGATTCCAAACATTGGTTCACAACCGCTGTTTGGCCATCTGTTTGGGGATGGTAGGCACTACAATGTTGTAATTTGGTGCCCAATTTGCTAAAAAGTTCCTTCCAAAATTGGCTTACAAAGATTGGGTCTCGATCGGAAAGAAGTGTTTTGGGAATGCCATGCAATCGGTAAATATGGTGAAGGAAGAGTACGGCTAGCGAGGGAGTTGTATAGTGAGCTGGGAGTGGAATGAAATGGGCGAACTTGGAGAGTCGGTCTACAATTACCCAGACAGCCAATTTTTCTTGAGAAGGGGGTAAGTGGGTGATGAAATCCATTGAGATTTCTTCCCATACTTGGTTAGGAATTGGCAGTGCTTGCAAGAGGTCGTACGGTTGTTAGTGGAGTATTTCGTTTGTTGATAGATAAGGCAATATTTGATGAACTGAGTTACTTTTTTATATAAGTGTGGCCAAAAAACAGATGCATTAATGTGACGAATGGTGGCAGTGATGCCGGAGTGGCCACCCAAAGTAGAGGAGTGGAATTCCTGTAGCAATTTCTGTCGTAGTTGTGGTATTCTTGGAATGAGTAAACGATCTCGAAAAAACAGAAGGCCATCCCTGTTATAGTAACCTGGTAAACTGGTTGGTGTTGTTGTGACTCAGTGAACCTAGTTGGGGCCTTCTACGTTGTCTCATGTTTAGATTCGGCTGATCCATCAGGTACCTCAGACTCTTGTGATCTGTGTAAATAGTACAGCGAACCCTATAGAGGTAACGCCACCAAATATTGAGGGCGAACACCACCGCCCCCAACTCTAAATCATGCGTAGGATAATTCGCCTCATGAGGCTTCAGCTGCCTCGAAGTGTAAGCAATCACATGACCACGTTGCATCTGCACTGCACCCAAACTTGTGATTGATGCATCACTATACATCACAAAATCCTCAACACCCTCCAACAGGGTCAGAATTGGCGCCTCACAAAATCTCCGTTTTAGAGTCTCAAAAGCTGCCTGTTGCTCAGGCCCCCAACGAAATGTGGCGGTCTTCTTCGTCAACTAGGTGAGATGAACTGCTATCTTGGAGAAATCCTGAATGAACCTTCGATAGTAGCCCGCCAAACCAAGGAAACTACGAATCTCAGATGGACACTTCAGAACCTCCCACCTCATCAGTGCCTCAACCTTGGCAGGATCGACCAGAATATCGTTCTAGTTGACAAGGTACCCCAAAAACTGCACCTCACACAACCAGAACTCATACTTGGAGAACTTCGCATACAATCTCTCCCTCCACAGAGTCTCCAATACCTCCCTCAGGTGCTCCTCATGTTACTCTTAGGTCTTGGAATAGACCAGGATGTCATCAATAAACACAATCATAGACCAATCCAACATGGGCTTGCATACGCAATTCATGAGATCCATGAATGTAGCTGGAGCATTGGTGAGTGCGAAGGGAATCACCACGAACTCATAATGACCATAACGAGTTCGGAAGGTCGTATTTTGCGTATCTAACCCTCATCTAATGATAACCCGAATGCAAATTAATCTTGGAAAATCAAGATGCACCCTAAAGCTACTCAAATAAATCGTCAATCTTTGGGAGTGGGTAAGGGTTTTTCCCCATCATCTTATTCAGCTCTCGGTAGTTGATGCACATCCGATGCGACCCATCCTTATTTTTCACAAATAAGATCGGCCTTCCCCATGGCGAACTACCCGTCCAAATAAATCCTTTGTCTAACAACTCCTGCAGTTGTGTAGACAACTCCTGCATCTATGGAGGTGCTAACCGATAAGGTGCTTTAGCTACCGGAGCCGCACCAGAAATCAAGTCAATCCAAAACTCCACCTGCCTCACCGGACGCACTCCAGGCAAATCCTCCGGAAACACATTCTGGTACTCCTAAATAATCGATACATTGTCTACCGTCGTCCTACTCTTCTCCTGAGTATCCATCACAAAGGCAACAAACCGAAAACTGTTGGATTAGTGTCTAAGTCCATAACTATAATTGGTAAGACTTGACCCGACTCGGCATGGTCCATTTGGGTTGCATGGCATCGGGACATTTGGATAGACCGTTTGTGAGAAGAGGACATATGTGACATATTAATATATTATAAGTTCTAATATATTAATATAAAATTATGTTATTTAATTAGTATTGATCAAGAATAAATTTGGACTTAATTTATTGATCAAAAGAGACTAATTAAATATATGGGGATTGATCGTGTAAATCATTCATTCTTATATGTGGGCTTATGATCCAAGATACCTTATGTTGGGTTTAACCCATGTGGTGGTCCATGGATACTCCATGGAGGTTAAAACCCATGGAGCATAAGGAATGGGTAAAGTCATGGGTTACATGGTGTAACCCTAATGTGCACACTATATAAGGACCCCTTTAGCTCAAGAAATTGACACAAGTAATACACATATGAGGGCTAGTCAATTTGAGCTTGGAGTGTCTTCTTCTCATGGTTATTCTAAGTGTTCATGATGTTGTGTGAACCATTTGAGGTGTCACACATGGGGCACTAGACTCTCAAGCTTCATGGAGTCAAGCAACAACAACAAGGTATGTATTCTATTTATTTTATTACCCAAGTATATGATATTTGTATGCTAGTATAGGGTAATATCTTGGAAACTTCATATTTGCATGTATAATAGAGAAAACATAGATCCAAGGTATTTAGGGTTGTATGTTCACCATAGGATGTTGTAGTATGCTCAAAACCCAACAGTGGTATCAGAGCCATGAGTTGTTTTCTGTTATATTCATGCAAATGTTTTATTTTCAAAGTTGGAAAAAAAAAGGAAAAAAACATGACGTTTGTCAAATTTTAAGATAATTACTTGTTTTTGTGAAAAACTAATTATTTGTAAAATTTGAATCATTTGCTATATGAGTTGAATTAGGTCAAATTTAGTAAAATATAAAATGATATGATTATTTTATTAGTTTTAAATGTTTGATCTAAATGTTTTAAGGAGTTACAAATTTTGTCATAAAATTTTTGGAGCTCAAAAGTTTTTTTAAAGTTGTGATCTTAAATGTTTTGAAACCTCCATAAGTTATGGATATGAAAAGGTTTTAAAAAAAATTGATTCAAAGTTTTTATGGAGTTACAAAATTTTTGGTATAATGTTTTAAAGAATTCCATAACTTATTCTTAAGTTATGGAACATGAAAAGTTTCATCATAAAACAAGCATTTAACTCCATAAGTTATGGATTACCAAAAGTTTTATGTTTCCTTGATTTATGAGTTAGTTTAGATTAATAAATTTTTTTTTGTGTTTTAGTTGTTTTCAATCCTAATTAATCTAGAGGTAGTTCATAAAATGTGTTTTTGTAACTTGTCCTCAAGTTACATAAAAGGTCACATTTATGAATCTTAAAACTCATAAAAGTGTCATAGGTTACATAAAAAAAATGAAGAGTCTTTTTCATTAAATAGTATTATGACTCCATAACTTGTCCTCAAGTTATGGATGTTTAAGAGTCACTTCTTTAAAAGTGTTATTAAAGAATAAGAGGTTACATAAAAAATGAAGAGTCTTCATTTTAATGAACCATTAAACTCATAAGTTATGAAATGAAGAGTTTTGAATAGTTTCAAAACTTGCCCTCAAGTTTTGGAATTTGAAAAGTTTTCTCTAATGAATACTTTAATTCCAAGTTAAGCCCTTATAATTTTAAAAAATAAAATTCAACCCTTATACTTTATAATATTATAAGTTAATAATATTTATATATATATGTATAAGAGCAAGTCGTCTTACCATTACTAGGCCTCATTCACGAAGCCGGTCTATAAGGGGGGTATAAGGTTATTGCCTATAAAATGGCAGTTTAATGGGTGTCCACTCTCACCCACCGCTTCCTTGACTGGTGGAGGGTCGTTAGCCGAACGGGTAGGAAAGGACTATAATTCTCCCTTCATTAAAAGTATAATGATAAATATTAAGTAACTAAACACTTATAAATTCCCAATCTTAGTTACTTAGGAAAATGTGAAATGGTGCTAACCCATGAAATTACATTTTGCACCTTGTTAAGTCGTTAGTGGAGCGTGTGTGGTTAACCGGCACACTAACATGGGACTGACAATGTGTGGCAAAGGGTGACTTAAGTTTTATCATAGATTGGTGGAGCGTGTGTGGTTAACCGGCACATCGATTGGGTGATAAAATTAAGGGTACCAAGTCAATTTGCATGGTTATTCACACCTTGTTTGTGATCCTCAGCATCCCAGTCACAAACTTGAGAGGGCACAATCGAGATTCAAACATGCCATTGAAAGTTCAATGTATCTCAAAAGATCTAGGAGTTTCAAATCCAATTAAAACTTAATTATATTTCGTTTTTCATGGTGGAAATTGGTAAATCGTCATTTACCTACCTTCAACTATTTTATAACTTGGATTACGGCATCCCTCTTCCAGTTATAAATAGGTTGTTGGGTCCTAGCCTTAATATTTCATATTGGGTGTTGTATTAAGGAATTTTAATCAACTAAACTTGAATATCTCCCAAAAGATGTCTAGTTCAGACATCTATGATCTTCCCAAATCTCTTGAAATTTCAC